GGGAGCGCCGCCGCGCTTCCCAAGTGGCGCACTTATCCAGTGCGCCACCGGGCCGGCCCGGGTGCTGTTAATTTTAGAGAAAGCAAACCAGTGTGTAAGCTTGTCCCACTGCAGTGGGCCTAAGGTGACCTGTTGGCTTTTTCCAGAAGGCTTGCTTCAAGCCAGTTGTAGTTATTCTGTATGCAAACCCCTCCAGGAAAGGCCTCCTGCTTAGAGTCACACCCTGGACTCTTCTTGCCGCGTTATTTAGTGCCTCGGGTTCTTGCGAGACTTCCTCTGACTGGCTAAGTAAATCTGAAGCCATGATTGACCCTGAATGTATGAGGTGGGAGAGGCAAAGCTGGCCGAAGAAGTGGGACCCTTTGAATTCTGTGCTGGGAAGAGCAGACAGAGCCTTGGAGTGCTGAAGGAGGTGCTGTCTCCTGTTCCGTCTTTACATGTTCTCCCCTGGGACGTTTGTAAGGATTTTACCCAGAAGGCATTTGTCTGTTTCATTTCAGACTTGCCGTGATGACCGAGGCCCTTGCATCTGCTCAGATCGTTTCCCAAGTTTGCCGTTTTGTTGCCGGTGCCTTGGCCACATGTGACCGATGGTTACAACTGGAGGCTCCAGAACTCAGCAAACAAGTGAAGATGCTGCCCTTCTGGCATGTACATTAAAAATTGCTGAGCTCCACTACTGCGATCACAGGAAGATGCCCCCGAAGCTGGTTGGGAAGTGACCACCATACCATCAACATCTTGGTGGAGGAGGCATGTGCACGGTGCCAGCTACAGATAGGTGGAGAGGGATCAGGCCCAGCAAGGGAGTTGGGTGGTAGAAGGAAAGCAGCAGCCCCTGGCAGCTTGGGCATCCTCACTGTGGAGCCCAATGGCCCCAGCAGGTAGCTGCAGGGACTCCCTAAGGATTTTCAACTTGGTTTGGTTTGATTTCTCTCTGGGGTTGGAAATCTGAAGCAATATTGTGTCTGTTCCATTTGGTTATAAAGAGGAAGCTGGATCACTTAAACTGACTAGTTCTTACTAGGTCATAATTTTAAATTAAAGAAATATCACTTTTTTATATACACATTTCTGTGTCTTTATTGGGTACATGCAGAAGGAGAGGGGGCTGCCAAGCTGTGGCCCACAGACCAAATCTGGCCCACTACCTATTTTTATAAATAAAATTTTATTGCAACACAGCCACCCCCATTCATTTATGAATCTATGGCTGTTTTTGTGCTGCAGTAGCAGAGTTGAGTAGTTGTAACAGACATCTGGCCCACAAAACCGAAAGTATTTACTCTTTGGCCCTTTACAGAAAAAGTCTGCCTATTACTGGTTTAGGGCAGTGTTTCATACTCTGCGTGAGAATGACCGGGCCTCACCCAAAACCTAGAATAGACT